GTGTGGGGGGGGGGTAAGGGTGTGTGTGTGTGTAAGTGTGTGTGTGTGTGTGTGTGTGTGTGTGTGTGTGTGTGTGTTGTTTACAAACGTAACGTGCTCTGGAGCCCCAAAATGCGCACACCTGCCTCGTCGAGGGTGCCGCCATGCCTGCGCAACAATCGCAACCTACCCTCTTTCGCTCCTTCCCGTGTACTCTTCAGGCAACACGTTTCGATATTCACAGGTAATACGTCGGTTTGTGAGGTCCGTGGTGTGATACAGGGCAAGAGTACATAAGCATGCCAATTGCTGTTATGGCATGTGAGTGTGCTTTCTGAAGCGTATGGCAGCCCTCACCCCTGCGTTTTATTTGTCGCGCATCTTGTCTGGGCTGGGCACTACACACAGCGACTTCATGGACTTCTTTGCAGTCTACACAAACATCGGGGCAGTCTACCGCCCCTCGTCCGGCAGCAAGATCCAGGACCGCCACGCCATCTTGCTGGTCGGGTGCGCCGGCTGCTTGCAATTGCAGAAAATGCATACAGTAGCGCGATCCTGCTTCAGCATCGCAACCTATTTGATTACTCTTGCGCATGATCGCACGTAGTGACTAGGCAAATGACAGCAGTACACCATGCTCGCTTACCTCACCAGGTATGACAATGTCAACCAGTTCTGGATCGCGCGCAACTCATGGGGCCCAGGTGCGGTCTTGTGTCCAGGGTGCAAAACAGCTGGCCGGCATTAAAATGGTTCCTACACATAAATTTGGATTTTCCGGTCTAATGCGGCTTCAAAAATACATGCGTGCATGTGCAATAAGGGCCTGTACACGCAATCCTTGTCTTCCCGCCTAGGTTTTGCTCAAGACGGCAATTTTAAGGTAGGCGCAAGCTGGGCCTTGCTGCTGGGCTCCAGGGCAACAGCGCTACCGTCAATGGAAGGGTAATGTTGAGGTTGGGCCTGGTGTGGTCCAACCAACGCCTGCTGCTCAGCACCACAGCGCTTCGCGTGTGCGGCCCATGTGGGCCCATTTGGGTTGACGAGCACATACATTGATAATGTGCGAGGCAATGCGGCCGCACAGCTCCTTAGGCAGGGTTATCCTGTAGCGCTCACAGCCATGTCTCATCCTGCAGGACTTTGGTTGTCGTATGTTTGCCGGCAACACCGGGCTTGTCGCTTCCCTTCCAAGTCACCCATGCAAAGGGACCAGAAACGAATCTCAACTCTCACCTGGCATGATACTTCTCTAGACAAGTGACATGCCCAATCGCTGCATGTCCTGGATTAGGTCGCGTTTGGAGCGGCGAGCGTCCTGAGCCCGGGGGACACTTTTGGCGTCGTGTTTGCGCCATCCACAGGAGCCCCCAGGCGGCCCCCTCCCAAGCTGGCGGCTGCACCCACCCTGCCAAAGGGCTGCAGCTACTACACGGTGGGTACTTAGCTGCCAGTTTGTTGTATGCTTTTTACGTGGTGCTAAGGGCCGATGAACACTCCGACCCTTTGATGAACGCGCACCCCGTGCATCCACCTCGCTCGCCTGTAGGCGGTGCCTGGGGACTACCTGTCGGGCGTAGCGGACCGGGTGGAGGTGCCGCTTGAGAAGCTGCTGCTGGACAATTTGGACACACTGAGGGACCTAGACAGCCCCCTGGCGGGCAAGAGGCTCGCAGTGTGCCCCCTGGGGGTGTCACCGCC